TTAAGCACAAGAGGTTGAGGTTGCTGTGAGCTCTGATGCCATGGCACTCTACCGAGGGTGACAAAGTGAGACTCTGTCTCAAAAAAAAAAAAAAAAAGATTACAAGTAGTGAAATAGTAAGCACAATGCCTGGCATTTAGCATTTGGCAAAGTTGCTGTAATGATTTTTTTTTTTTTTTTTTGCAGTTTTTGGCCAGGGCTGGGTTTGAACCTGCCACCTCCGGCATATGGAACTGGTACCCTACTCCTCTGAGCCACAGGCGCTGCCCAGTAATGATTTGTAAGTTATCTCTTCATCTTGTATGTCCCCTTAACAAACTGCAATAGATTGCAATTATTGCTAGTCACAGTCCCACAAAGACCGGTAACTTCACAGATATAGAAACCAAGGGTTGGGGAGGGGGGATTTGCCCAAGGTCATACAAACAATTGGTGAAGAGCCTAGACCACAGAGCCCAGACTTCTCTTAGAATTCTAGAGCCACAGGCAACCTTGGCAGCCAGCATCTCCCCTGTTACACAAGAGGAAAGTAAAGGTGGGGGGGGGTTAAGTGACTCATCCAAAATCACAACAGGGGATATAAGAATCAGGACAGAAAGGTCCCTGAAAGAGAAATTAATGCAGTATCTCCAAAATACCCAGGCTAACTATTAGAATTATCTGGGGGAGGGAGACGTGTGTGTACATATGTACATGTATACACAAGCACACATCAACACACCTACACACTCTCTGGGCCTCCCCCAGCCCTACTGACCCTGTCTCTGAGGGAAGAGCCTGATAATCTGAAGGAAATGTCACATCGTTAGCATGGGCTGGAGTGCAAAGAATCTGGTAAAAAAATAAATTGCCCTGGAAGCATTTCATACCTCACCTAGGAAATCCAGTACACAAGGTTCAGCAGCCCCTACTTCTCCACTGATAGAGCTGAACCCCTTTCCTCAGCTGAGCACCAGAGATTGCATTAGTGAACTGTCATCCCCCCTCCAATTATGTGTCATCTTGTATTTAAAACACACTCAGTTCTGCCAAGTCCATAAAGTTGAATTCCAGCAAGTTCAAGGGATAGATGCTGTGACTCCACTTAGAAATGCTAAGTTTGGAGTGCCTTTGAAAAGGTTTTCCAAAAGTATTCTGATTACGCGTTCATGTTGGGGACAGGGAGCCTAGTCTAGTGCTGCTTAGACTTTAATATGTTTACAAATCACCCCAGTCATGTTCAAATGCTAATTTGGATTCATTTAGCCTGAGAGCCTTGGAAATGTTTCGGTTCTAACAAGCTACCAGGTGGCCACCGTGCCCTTGGTCCTGGGACCACGCTTTCAGTAACAAGACTGTGTATACAGAGCCCCCTCACCGCCCGCGCTATAACTCTATGAAGCGGGGAAGGGAATAATACAAGGGGGTATATCCCAGGTAGGCATAGAGAGAAAGCGGGGAGTCCCAAGAGAGATGCGCTTACCCGGGCAGATGCTTCCTCTGAGGTTCTCCAGCAGGTGCGTCATGGTGTTGAAGTCCGGGGAGTAGGACACATGCAGCTCAGCGGGCTCAGAGGCGATCTCCCGCAGCTCCTCCTCCACCGCCTTGCCCACGCCCACGGCGTACATGACGATGCCTACAAGGCTGGGAGACTCACAGGGTGCCCCAGGCCTCCCGAGAGCTGCCTCCCCACGTCCAACCCAACCCCAGTCCAATGTGCCCAGCCAAGCCCACCTTCGTCTTTGGCGCGCGCTGCCCACACGGAGATGTCATCCTGGGAGCGACCATCGGTGAAGACCAAGCCCACACGAGGCACGTTGAGGGCGCGAGGCCGCGCTCCCTGCGCCTCGGAGAAGCTGTGCTCCACCATGTGCCGCAGCGCCAGGCCTGTCATGGTGCCGCGTTCCATGTACTCCACAGCGAGGACCGCCTGCTTCACCTCTGCTGCAGTGCCGTAGCGGCCCAGCGGGAACTCGGTGCGCACACGGCTGGAGAACTGCACCAGACCCACGCGCGTGCCCTCGGGGGACACGTCCAGGAAGTCTACAATCTGGTTCACGAAGCGCTTCACCAGCTCGAAGTTCTGCGGACGCACGCTCTTGGAGCCATCGACGAGCAGAACGAGGTCCACGTGGCCTTCTCGGCATCCTGGCCAAAGAGAAGAGCTTGGAGGGACCAGTCCTTGGCCAGCAGCAGTCATCTATCCAACTAGTTATTCGTTTGTAAACATGTATTATACAACAGCATTCACTGAATCCTTCCTGTACCAGGCAATGTGCTAAATATAATTATCACCACCATCATTGTCATCATTCTAATTATAACCTTTGACAAAATTTAGTCAGCACTTAACACGCACTCTACTAAAAGCATCTTTTAAAGTGAAAGTGAAAATAAATAAGTACCATTTATTGATTATCTACTATTATCAGGCATAATTCTAAACAGTGTACCAGTATTAGTAACAATAGTAGCAGAAACATTGTTTACTGATAGTTTACCAGGTGTCAGGCACTGGGATAGGCTCTTTATATACATGTTTATTCTCAGTCCTCCCAAGGACTTTGTTATTATCTCTTATTTTCTATAATCTGAGGTTCTGAAGGATAAAGTGATTGTCCCAGATTTCACAGCTTGAAGTGACTGGGTCAGGACTTGAAACCTCTACAATGTCACCTCCCCTATTTTAAGCCAGGGACTTGGCTAGCCCCTGAATGGGGGTTCAACAATAAATAAAAACAGAATCTTGATCCATGAAGAAATCAAGATAGAGCAGAGCAAGTCAAATATGCCATATGCTACGGTTAAGGAAAGTGCTAGAGGAGAGGGTCATGCAGGGAGCCCAAGGTGGGAATAATTTATACTTCCTAGAGTTAGGAAAGGGTGAATGGAGGGGATGACAACTGATTTGATCTTGGTTATGAACTTGGATTGGGTCTCCCAAAACCAATTTGTTGAAACCTTATTTCCTAATGTGATGGCCTTAGGAAGTGGGGTCTTTGGGAGGTAATTAGGATTAGATGAGGTCATGAGAGTAGAGCCTTTATGAAGGGAATGAGTGTTTTTTGTTTGTTTGTTTGCTTGTTTTTTGAGACAGAATCTCACTTTGTTGCCCTCAGTAGACTGCCATGGCGTCACAGCTCACAGCAACCTCCAACTCTTGGGCTTTAAGTGATTCTCTTGCCTCAGCCTCCCTAGTAGCTAGGCCTACAGGTGCCTGCCACAACACCTGGCTATCTTTTGGTTGTAGTTGTTATTGTTGTTTAGCAGGACTGGGCTGGATTGGAATGCACCAGCTCGGGGGTATGTGGCTGGAGCCTTAGTCGCTGAGCCAGGGAATGAGTGTTCTTATAAGTGTCCGCAGAGGGCTTGCTTCCTTTCTCCACCATGTGAGGACACAGTGAGAAGAATGCCATCTATGAACCAGAAATCAGGCCCTCACCAGACACTGAATCTGCTGGCACCTTGGTCTTGGACTCCCCAGCCTCCAGAACTGTGGGAAAATAAATATTGTTTAAGCCACTGAGTCTATGGCACTTAGTTACAGCAGCACAAATGTCCTAAGGCAGTCTTGAAGGATGAGTAGGAGTTGGCCGGGGCAGGGGGTACATTCTGGAAAGTGGGGAACAGCACGTGCAGAGGTAAGGCAGCTGAGAAGCTCTTGACACACTCAGCAAGGGGCAGGCCAGTAGAATTAAACATTCTAGTGTGGCAAGAGAGGTGATGGGGTGATCTGGGCCAGATTGTGATGAGCTCAAAAGTGGTTTCAAAATTTTGACCACAACCCACTGTCAAAATAGTAAAAAATAACAGCAATAATAATAATACATGGTACATAGGCTCACATGTAACTAAACAAGTATCAAAAGTAATATTCTTTCTACATGCAATAAACTATTTTATTGTCTTTCTGCGTTTATATTTTTTTAAGGCTAGTTGTAACCCAGTAATTTTATTTCATTATCCACTAGTGTGGTTGTGTCCACTATTTAAAAAACTCAAGGGTAAGGCATTCAATCTTTATTCTGTAGACACTGGTGAACACAGAAGGCTTTGGAGCAAAGGAGAAATGTGATCATCAAATACACGTTTTTTAGATTTACGTTGGCAGCAGAGTAGAGGATTGAGGGGAAGACGACGGAGGCAGGGTATGACACACCTTCCAATATCCAATCCCCCCCCCCAAAAAAAAACACATGCATACACCACAGTCTTGGGCCCAGCAAGGCCAAAGTCAAGGACATTCAGAACGTGGGCAATGGACAGCAGCAGACAGAACACTCTCCCACCCATCACTCACGGTTACAGGTCTTGCCATCTGCCTGAAGTTGACGCCCCTCAGGGCACAGGCAGCGATATGAGAAGCCCTCACTCACACACTGGAACTCGCAGCCATGGTCCACACCGTTACATAGGTCCCGAACTTAAAGGAGAGATAGGTCAGGATGAGTCAGTGTGGACCCCACCAAGCTAAGGTCTCCTGTGGCTCCCTACCAATGTAGGAGATCCCTCCTCACCCTGGCAGCTTCTCCCATCGGGCAGCAAGTCGTGGCCCTCTCTGCAGCGGCACTGTGGCCCAGCAATGGTGCTGACACACTCGTGCTGACAGCTGTGGTTCCTGAAGCTGCAGTGGTCAATGGCTGGCGGGAAGGAGGAAACAGCAAGATGTCACCTCTGACTGGAGCCATCCCAAGCCTCAGTCCAAGATGCTCGTGTGTGGGTGAGGTACGCACCCCTGCAGCTCTTCTGGTCCTGCTGGAGTACAAAGCCAGCTTGGCAGCGACAGAAATAGGAGCCCGGGGAATTGACACAGTGGTGCTCACATCCGTGGGTCCCTTCAGCACACAGATCAATGGCTGGGGAAGAGATGAGATCAGCCTATGCCCAGGGATGCCCTTCTGAGCCCTGGCAGCACAACTACCTGAAGGAATTTTTTTTTTTTTTGAGGCAGAGTCTCACTCTGTCACCCTGGGTAGAGTGCCATGGCATCATGGCTCACAGAAACCTTAAACTGTTGGGCTCAAGCAATCCTCTTGCCTCCCAAGGAGCTGAGACCACAGGTGTGTGCCACAATGCTTGGCTAGTGTTTCTATTTTGTAGTAAAGATGGGGTCTCGCTCTTGCTCAGGCTGGTCTTGAACTCTGAGCTCAAGCAATCCACCCACCTAAACCTCCCAGAGTGCAAGAATTACAGGAGTGAACCACTGCTCCTGGCCAGGAAATTTTTGAAACACCCATGACTATCATTTTATCAAAAAGACACCTGCACTCAAATGTTTGTTGCAGCACAATTCACAATTGCAAAGATGTGGAATCAACCCACGTGCCCATCAGTCCATGAATAGATTAACAAAATGTGGTATATGTATATGTGTACGATGGAATACAGCTCGGCCGTGAAGAAAATGACTTAAAGTCTTTGGCAGCAATCTGGATAGAACTGGAGACCATTATCCTAAATGAAGCAATTAGATAATAAAAAACCAAACACATCTCTTCACTATTAAATTGGAACTAACCAATGAGCACACACACGCATAGAGGGATTTAAAACTCAATGGAAATGGAGTGGGGGGGGGTTGGGAGAAAACCTGCCTAATTTATACAACCAACACCATCTGGGTGACAGGCACACTTATAACCATGACTCAAGTCATAAAAGTGATCCATGTAACCAAAAATATTTGCACCCCCGTAATGCTTTGAACTAAAAATCAGCAGAAGTAAAGCTCCCATTGTCATATGAACAATTCCATTTTCCAAATCAATTAAAGAAGATAGAATCTGATGACAAGAAAATACCCAGGTCTGGGTCCCAACCCCCAAAATCTTGACTGAATTATTCTGGGGTGGTACCCAGGTATCTGTAATTTCTGTAAGTGTCAGCCTGCTGCCTCTGGGGCCAGGCGACCCTCCCAACTCAAACGGTACATACAACCCAGAGCCAGCCTGCCCAGTAGTAAACCAGGCATAAGAATGAGTTTCCACTGTTCCCCTGTCCTCAAGATGCTCCCTGACTCATAGGAGAGGATGTGGCTCAGCCACATTCCTCTCTGAGCTTCCAGCCTTCTCATCTGCAAAATGGGAGCATAATGGGAGAGAGCAATTGTGATGTGCAACTTCTTTCTGAGGAGGATGGAGACCTCTGGCCCTGTTGAGCATCTTGATGGTTTGTATGTACAAAGATGGCCTAGAGCTGAGGAAGCAGAGCCCGCAGAGAGAAGAATTGCCTGTTGTAAGAAAAGTGAGAATGTGGCATTTCTGGGAAGGGGGGGGGAAGAACAGGAGAGATGATGTGAAGATGAGTAACTGCGGGTTGAGGTTGAGGCTGCTGGTGACAAAGCCCCTGTAGTGGGCTAGGAGGACTTTTGGGAACAAGGGTATCTAATATTCAATTATAAATGATGGGTTTTTCTTTTGCGTGTGTGTGTGTGTTTGCCTCAGATGTAACTCACACCTCTGTTATGCCTATCTTTAGAAAAATTAACTTATGCTCATTTACATACACACACATCCTTGTGCACACAAGTGTATAAGCCAAAGAAAAGGCTGATTTACATGCGTGGACCAAGAATGGCATGTGTGGGGTTGAGAAATTGAGAGAAAATCCATAAATCAAATATGTTCAGCAAAAGCTCACAGCAAGGCTCGGCACCTGTAGCTCAGTGGCTGGTGTGCCAGTCACATACACCAGGGCTGGCGGGTTCAAACCCAGCCCAGGCCTGATAAACAACAATAGCAACTACAACAACAACAACAAAAAATAGCTGGGCATTGTGGCTGTAGTCCCAGCTACTTGGGAGGCTGAGGCAAGAGAAGCACTTAAGCCCAAAAGTTTGAGGTTGCTGCGAGCTATGATGCCACAGCACTCTAGTGAGGGTCACATAATGAGATTCTGTCTAGAAAGAAAGAAAGAAAGAAAGAAAGAAAGAAAGAAAGAAAGAAAGCAAGCAAGCAAGCTCGCTCATAGCAAGAAGTGACCACCAGCTAGGTATGATGGCTCCCAACTGTAATCTCAGCACTTTGGGAGGCTGAGAGGTGAGTGGATCACTTGAGGTCAGGAGTTCAAGACCAGCCTGAGCAAGAATGAGACCCTGTCTGTACTAAAAATGGAAAAACTAGCCGGGCTTTGTGTCAGGCGCCTATAGTCCCAGCTATTGGGGAGGCTGAGGCAAGAGAATCTCTTGAGCCCAAGAGTTTGAGATTGCTGTGAGCTATGACACCACAGCACTCTCCCCAGGGCCATAGAGTGAGACTCTATCTCAAATTTAAAAAAGAGAGAGAGAGACCACCAAAATGGAGTCCTTGGGGAATTCCCAGAAATCTTGAAGAGGGATTTGAATGCTCATGGTCCTAGAATCAGGGTTCAAGCCAACCTTTTTAAGTATCTAGAGAGAAGAGCCAGCTGACATCTGGGTTACTGGGCTCATATAATGTATGAAAGATAATGTAGGCTCGGCACCTGTGGCTCAAGCGGCTAGGGCTCCAGCCACATACACCTAA